GCCCCTAGGTCTCCTTCGGAGGCGCTCGGGCAGCTCCTGGCTGAGCCCGTGCTCGACAATCTGTCTTGGGGAAATTGCAAAGGCCTGCGGGCATAAGTACCTAAAAAAACAGAACATAAATATGACATATATGTACATAAGGACGATACCTTTAAAAGTATTGCCACATAGACTATAGATTTTGGTAATAAAATTTGAATTAGAAATAAACGATAATGTGCCATAGAGTTTTCATTAACTTTTAGGTGTTAAAAAAACAACGGATCTGAACCTTCGTTAGATTTCATATTAGAATTTACTGCTAATCGTACGCATTCCTCGATCAATTTATTATAAAGTTGACCCACGTTCACGAATCTCGTCCGTTTCGTCGGTGACCCATAATTTTCGTGGTCATCTCTACTATATCGGCTTTTACTAAGACGACCGGTTTTCGTCAAGTTCACTGCAGGTTGTGACCCACATGCCGGAAACTTTCTTTGCTTCGTAAAAATAACGCACAGCACTGGTTGACAGATTTTCGAATATTGGATATCTTTTTATGTTGTAGGACGTAGATTGAATCAAAACTATTTGTAAATGTCTAGTTCCAAATTTTATGAGTCTGAATTGGTGAAATCGCTGTTCTCGAAAATTGGTTTGCTAATTCGCTGTAGAAATAAATACGACATTAGTGCGTAGTACTCACAAAATGCACTAAAACTAGTAATAGTATTTAAGATCAGAATTTGGAAGTTAGGTAGCAGAATAACATATCAGATACGGCCAAATGCTCATTTACGAGGACACGATGCCGTCCCTCCCATGCGAGACAAACCGCGAAGGTCTTCTCTGTCGTGTTCAAGTCTTTTTTTTATCGCCCTTGTATGCAGACGAGCATACGGCCTGATGGTGAGTGGTCACCGTCGCCCATGGACTTCAGCAATACCAGGGGCAGAGCCAAGCCGCTGCCTACCGTAAAGTATTCTCCAGGAGCCACGTTTGAAGAAGAACATGTCATAGCACTCGGGAAAACCGTGGGGCTCATTCCAAAGGCGGATGGTACGTGGCAAAAAAGATCTCTGGAAACGCACTGTGTATGATCGCAGTGGCTCCAGGTAGTATGGATGAACTCTACTCCTGTGGCGGGCGGTGCGACAGTAAAAACGAGATCCAGTCGCATCCAGTGATCATCAATCGCATCAAGTGATGTCATTGTGCCGCCGCTAAGCTTTGATCGGGGGCAGGTACCAGTCAGAACGGAAGTTTTCCAGACAGTCCGCAGGCCGGCCGAAGGATCTGTCAGTTGCCCGATTCCCGCCTATAATACTGCTTTACAGTTTTTGAGTCAAAGCTATTCCACATTTCAGGCAATGTAGTTATTTTCGGTGTAAAATTTAATATTAACTTAATCTGAAACAAATTGTTTTTTTTTTGTAAGGAATTTAAAATGAGACTTTGCCTTCCCTATTTAAGCCAACAAAATAAAATATGGTACGTTGAAATTGCGTAATGTGAACAACGAATCTCGTATTACATGCTTGAAACAATAAGATTCTAAACGTTACATTGTTGTAGAATTGATTTATGATTAAAATTTACAACATCTATAAACTGTTCAACATAGTATTTATTAAAACTTACCACATTTTATCGGATCTTTATAAAACTACTCCATTTGTGATCGGCCTGCTACATAAAGAAATCGAGGTTGTTTCTTACGGCACACTTTGCCTGATCTTTTATTTCTTTTTGTGTGTTTTTATATTTGTAATATCAAAAACGATGCCGACTGCGATAAAGAGAAAACGCTTGCGTGAAATTTTTACCCTTTTATGGTTTTTTATGTTCATGCACAACATTTTTTAGTCTCAGAAAATATTAATTAATGATGAATAGAATTTGTACGTGCATTTATTTTGTTTCTTTACCGTGAGATAATTATACACACGATCTTCTGACAGTGGTAGAAGCGTTACATATGGAACTCGCTTTTAATCTAGTTAGTATTTTTTTAAAATTTTTATTGCCTTTGTAGGCAGACGAGCATACGGCCCACCTGATGGTGAGTGGTTACCGTCGCCCATGGACTTCAGCAATGCCAGGGGCAGAGCCAAGCCGCTGCTACCGCTTAATACTCTCCACAATCCTCGTTTGAAGAATATATCGTATGTCTCATATGATAATAATTAGGATGTTCGAAGCATAGCTACGTTTTTGGAAAGTACTTTTAATAAACTTGAAGTGTGTTGGTGTGTAGCCTCACGATTGATAGCCAGTTTGCAATTCTTCCTTTTTTAAAGCTACCTGATGCTAAGCATATGCTTGCCCATAAATGCAGCCAAGACCAACAGTTAAACCCCATCAATAAATTTCCTCATTTTCGTCCCAGACGAAAAGTACGCGATGAACTACACTACCGGCACGCTATGGTGGTCGTTTTGACGTTTGTCCACTCATGAAGTTTCGTATTAATAGTAATTACTTAGGGGAGGCTTAAACGACGGAGGGAAGATCTTCCACCGAGCGGGTGATATTTGCTCGGTAGACCGACGGTCCGAATGTTGTTGTTCGGAACTTGTATATATGCGCTTTATCTTGCAAATTTCGTAAGCGAGATTCAGGCATCTGTCGGTTATCTTGCGTTGCATGATGGCTACCCGCCACAATTACATTTGAAGGAGGAAATTGCTGTTCCTTACAGTCAATAGTAACGTGCAGTCAGTTATAAAATTATCGAATGTATTATTTTAGGACACAAAATTTATTTATTACGTTGATTTCTGAATGTTTGGGCACCCCGAACATTTTTTATTTGTATAAGATTATAATTATTGGTGTATTTATTTACCACATAGCTCGGCATTTGTTTTTCAAAATTTAAAATTAAAAACAATGAAATCTAATACGATCGTCACATAGGATCGCTGGCCACACAATTACTACCTCCGGCAAACTCGCGTCAATGCTTGTGTGCATATAAAGTATGTATTATATTCATTTTCATTCTAATATTCAGATCCTTCAAATATATTAAGTAGGTAAGCATTTATATTTTTGTTTTATTAAACCTTTTTAATCAGGTACTACTTGCAATAAAAACTTATAGATTTCATTACATTTTTTTCGAGAATAAATTGAGATTTCACATCGCTATTGTAATATGTCAAAACGGCAATCACAGCGTGCCGATAGAATAGTTAACAAAAAAAATTTCTAACAGTAATGGCATGGAAGTGTATCTATCGCCTTTTGTCGAAACAAATCTTCGGCCATCATCGTATTCCTTATTTAAAGGACATAAGCTCTAAAATTCACTAAATACATCATGGACTAGTTAGAAAAAGACCTCCAGAAATTGCAAGTACTGTCGTATATTTCTTAGAGTTTCTGAGGTTTGCGAATGGGTATTATTATTATTTACAATTAAACTCGGCATTAAGCAGCGTCTTTCGGCGCTCGTGCATGGGCGCATACTATTATTTTTTGGACATGTCTCCCGGCGAGGAAATGACTCCATAGAGCGCCTTGTCGTTCAGGGCAAAGTAGAAGGCACCAGGCCGCGTGGAAGGGTGCCCATGCGATGGATCAGATCGACCAGATCAAGTCGGCAGTAGGCGGCTGTTTGCATGAGTGTACCAGGCTCACCACAAACCGCGAGGAGTGGCGATTGCTCATGAGGCGCATAACATCTGCCCACAGCAATGATGCTGGATGACGACCACGACCGCTCTGACAAGAGTGATACGACATACGATTATTATTATTATATTCACAGTTAATTACACTCTTATATGTTTCTATTTAGACTTATCATTACATGGCACGCTCTATTGAAATAGCTACGTAGAGCGTGGAGAGGTGTCAGAGGTGTTGTCTGTCCGAATATCGAGGCCGCACTACGCCGTGTTGCTCGCTCAGCGTGGCTCAAATAATCTTCATACTTGATGATTTTTTTTTAAACAATATCATGATAATTTTTACAGTTATTTATATAAAAACTGAAACACGAAACAGAATCTTACTTTAAGAGTTACTTTCATCCTTTATTTTATTCCTAGAGGTAAGAATTCCAAAAATACTTCCTTATACAGGTTACAAAATTAAATAACTAAATTTCAAGATTTTTGTCGTAACTGCCTAGAATCTTCATAGATGAAGCAATCGGTGAGTAATGGGAAGAAATTATGTATGTAATCACACGCGGAGGGGCAGTACAACATATTGCGACTATAAGAGGATTTATTTACTATATAAACGAACGAACGATTCCACGTTATCTTATTGTATCGCGTATCGCGTTGTTGTGTTTTTCACAGTATATGAATCATTTCGAGTGTTGAAAGACTATTTAATTGAAGCGACATATTTGCAACTTTACAGGAGTACCATTCAAAGCTTAAAATTTGGACAAAATATCACACAGAAAAACTGCTTCAGCTTTTTTTTTATTGCTTAGATGGGTGGACGAGCTCACAGCCCACCTGGTGTTACTGGAGCCCATAGACATCTACAACGTAAATGCGCCATCCACCTTGAGATATAAGTTCTAAGGTCTCAGTATAGTTACAACGGCTGCCGCACCCTTCAAGCCGAAACGCATTACTGCTTCACGGCAGAAATAGGCAGGGTGGCGGTACCTACCCGTGCGGACTCACAAGAGGTCCTACCACCAGTAAAAATCAGCTATTTCAATGGAGTAAACTTACTTGAAATTCAATTATTAAATCATCGAATGTTGATTCTAATACCACGCACCTTTAATTACAAAGATAAATGTCGCATATTAAGCTTAAACTAAATAACTTTTCAGTCCTCGATTTGATAGCAATACATCGGTTATTTTTCTTACTCATCACGACACCAAATATTTAGTTAATTTAGAAAAAAAAAACCATTTATCATTGATAGTATCAAGACTGTTCCATTTAAATACACTAAGCAAAAGGCACGTAAAGGTGAGCTAGACGCGGGCGCAGCGTATGACGTGTTTCTTCTCACTTCCTTCAGTGAACCGCGAACCGCCGCGCTCGAAGCAAGTCTCAATCTAAAACATAAATGAACACCTTTAAAAATTAACTATCAGTGATACAAAAAGAAAAAAAACTAACTAGTTTTATGTTTTGATTATTATCAACACAACACTAATTGGATTGGCATTTGAATACAAACTTTTAGAAAGCTTTGGTATTGATAAAAGTTTGTTTTTCGTTTGCAAGGACAGTGTTACGAAAGTTCAGATTGCGAGTTTCAAAGTGTTTTTTTTTTTAATTCAGCTTATTCCGGGATTGTTGCGTGTTTGTGCGAATTAGAAGGTAAGTTATTGATTGCTGTAACATAATAGCGTTCTGTCAGGAAATGTTTCGAAGTTCACAAGAAATGACTTTCGATTGCCAACGTTTCTTCTTATTTGCACTTGAACGTTACGGCTTCGTTCCATTGCTTCTTCAAATGCGTATTGATAATATTTAATGTAATTTTTTTTGGTACACGCTTACTTCTGACCTTTAATCAAAGCGCTTAGATTCAACCAAAGCCGAAGGATGTGCGTAAACCTGCGGCTTGAAAGCCGTCTTCATTATAGAAAGGCCCGGTCGCTTTGTTTTCACATGAACGTTCACCTTTTATGTAGGTACGCCACAGTTCATTAAAGATTTTACATAATACACGCTTTCTTCGGAGGCATGTATGTGCTGATGCGGATTTTTACGGTTCCACAAGACCGTGACACTTTTACCGGCTAATTACTTTTGGCTCAATCGAAGGTTGAAAATCTCACGTCCGATTTTTATTTGGAAAACTACTAGAAGGAATCGAAGTTTGTCAACTATATATACATAGTGTTTTTTTTGTGTGATTCCTAGCAAAAAATTTGCGTTTTAATTATAATTAAAGATATATACTTAATAATGTCTACCCGCGTTTGTAATTCGAAATATTAATGAAACAACTTAATTTTCCGGAATACAGAGTTGGTCGTGTCACCATCAGGTCTACAGATTACCATTCGGTAGATACATAATAAGACGGACCACACTTCGGTTTTAAAATAACAGATATGTCCTAACCATGTCGATTTTCTTGATGAAAAGTATCGTGTTGGTCCGGTTAATAAAATTTTATACATTCAGTCATTTTTACTTGTGTGAATTACATATATCCAAACATGCAAAGAATCTTTCATATTACTAATGTTAGAGTAAATTTTAAAATGTATACAAGTTTACGTAGTCTCCAGTAGGTGCTGATGGCCTCTTATTAGAAGCTGTGGGGATGAGTGGAGATACGCCCCGACCTACTTACTATAAGCTGCTATTACTCTGCCATGTCATTTTAAAGTAGTGATATTATTTTTATCATTATTTCTCAAGAATTCTTATTATGAGTTATTCAGTTTTAAATTACATTTTATTTGTAGACCGGACGTTTTACGCTCCTATCGGTAACATAGAATCTTGCAAAGGATTTCCTGGTTGTAAAAAAAATTGGTGTCGTAGATCGTTAGGCTTTCAGAGGTTTTAACACTAGAATCTAAACCGGATTGATGGGATCACGCCACTACTATTCTACCTATGGCTGTCAAAAAGTGATCCTCAATGTTTAATTAAACATTCTCTACAATAGATGATAATCATTATGAATTTAAAATTTGGCAGCAAACAAAAGTGTCATAGCGGTAGTTGAGAATCACTGGAATAGTATTGCCATTATACGAATACTATTGTAAGCCCAGACAATAATTTGGTTAGCTTGAGATACCTGTAAATAAATATCTGTAAAAATATCTATAATAAAAGAAAACCACAGTGTAAGAAACTTCCAAACCAATAATTAAGAGCAATTCTCTTTGTATCACAGCTTACGTAACATCAAACTAAGTGTGAAGTAGGTGTGTAAGGAAATTCGTTGTTGTCCGTTACGATATGGATTGTAATTAGAAGGATGCTATAAACAACCTTATGTAACTGTTCTTAATGATATAGTGCCAGTAAAGACTTTCAGTTTCACTAAAACAAACTTCTTCTTCTTAGTCGAATACTTCATTGCTGAAGGTCGTGTCTCTGAAAGCCCTTCGTGGCTCTTTGTACCCTCAGCTTCCATTTGCTTCGGTTTTCGGCTTCTCTCAGGGCGTTGGCAAAAGAGAGTCCAGTGAGCGCAGTTATCTGATCCGACCAACGGTTTGGTGGCCGGTCGGCGGGTCTTTTCCCTTCTACCTTGCCCACCACAATCAATCTTTCAAGGTTTAAAACAAAAAACAAACTATCGTTCTACATTTATTGTGTGCTTATGCCTATGTTTCTCAGTGTTTGAGGCTATTTTCAACTAGGTAGACTTCACGCTAGTCTGCTTATCAAGGCAATAAAAAAATCCAATCTATTATGGGCACTGGAAATGGTGACGAAGAAATCACGGGCCACGCACGACAGTAAAAGTAGTTTTAATCATGTCTACACTTATTTTATAACACGTAATAGCCCACCGAGTTTCTCGCCGGATCTTCTCAGTGGGTCGCAATTTCGATCCGGTGGTAGATTCTTCGAAGCGCTGCTCTAGCTAGGACTATTGTTAGCAAAATTCTCTCAGGTTCAGCCCGTGAGCTTCCAGGCTACCAGCGAATATGTAGGGAAAAAAAGGAAAATAGTTTTTAAATATATTCCTCCTATTTTATTCGTGAAATGGTTGAGAGCAAAGAAAATTCAATTTGAATGTTGAATTACTATAACAATTGACTTAAATCATTACCAATCATTATCAATCATCATTGATCATTTATATTGCATATAATATACATATAATCCAAACGAAAAAACCTTTGAAAATTTGAAAGCAATCCAATAATAGGTGTCGTGTACATATAAATGCGCTATCAAGTTTCCACACTGAACTAACCTTGAACACTTAAGCCGCAACGGAAGTGAAATCCCATTTGACAGTGATAATAACACATTGAATTTATCCAAGAATGCTTGTTAGCAGGTCTCGTTAAAGATCACTTGTTTTGCCGTCCGAAACCTGTGTGAGAAAGTGGACGTGTAGGCGAAACGCGATCGTAGCTTTCGATTAAACTTTAAAAAAAAAGCAATTCTGCGAGATTGAAGCGATAGCCGAATCATTTATGAAATTTAGCTAACCAACCAAGTTAACTTGTTTTTCGTGGAAAGAATGTGGTTTTTTCATTAATATATTGAGTGAAATGAAATTTCTCAAACGCAACTTACATGATCGTTATTATGACTGACTGGTTGGTGCAGTAGCTAGCGCCCTTGACTGTTGTGCCGAGGGTCGCGGGTTCGATTCCCACGTCCGGCAAACATCATGTGATGCACAGATTTGTTTGCTGTTTGTCTGGGTGTTTATTATCAACGTTTAAAAGGATGTATGTCAGTCTCTGGTACCCATAACACAGAGAATCCTGGTTTGAGGTCGAATCGCCGTGCGTGATTTCTTCCCAGTTATTTATTATTATTATTGATATTTAATTTGGTTACTCAAAACTCAAAATTTCTGATAAAATATACCGAATACTTTAATAATTGAGATTAGTTGAAAAATTCATACAGAACCGTACATAATTATGGATATTTTAGATGGAGAGAATTTCAAGAGTCTTATAAAATCCGAAACTAATTTTGTGGCGCACATGCCCTAGCGATTTCTAGTAATCCTCTCTTTCCCTGAGGCAAGACGCACGTTCAAGGGGATAATTTCATCTTCGTTTGTGAGGTAAGATACTTGATTAATTCAAGAATACCCGCAACTACCTACCGACATACCTAATATACTTATTTAACACTAGTAACACTGAAACATAGTAAATACCTATATTGCCACAAAAATAATCACTAAGACTGCGTTGTGTAAGAATTAACTAATGTGTAAAGAAATTTATTTAAAATTAATTCTTAATATTATTATATCTAGCTTAATTAATTAATCGATGAAATGTCCGACTATATCATTCATATTGCAATTTTGAATCCTATTTTAAAGCAATTGAAATTAAATTAAATTAAATTAAATTTAATTTAAAGGCATTGAGGATTTTCAGTTAATTCCATAGCCCATTTATTTATTACGCAGTAATAATAGTATAACAATTCCAATTCCGTTAAAAATTACTGTGATACAATTTGAATAATTCCTGAGCATGAATTAAGCTAATTAAACTATCTGCTTTAGATTATACAATACCCGACGTTCGAGTAATCTAATTCATTCACGAAATACCCACACTAAATCTTTAATTATATAATATACATTGACAGATGCATGATTGTCAACTAACTACACACGAATAGAGCTGTCAGTGGTGAAAGAACTATCGGCCCGCGACTTGTTGCATAAGCAAATCTAAATAAAGTACTTTCTAAACAAAAACAAAAAAGTCATACGTTGTTTCTACGTTCTCTATAAACGAACTGGTAATTCTGTTTTGTTTTTTTACAGTTATTGGCTGTAGTATAGGAAGAAGCCAGGTCAGCGAGCTTCGTGCTAATATGCACCTTAAGACATGTAGTGAAGTCTCATTACGATAGTTCGTTAGAAATTGTTGTCGAGAAACAATTAATAAATGTTGTCACATAAAAATAACCATTTTTAACTGACTTCGAAAAAGGCGGAGGTTCTCAATTCGACTGTTTGTTTTTTTGTTTAAGTTTGTTACCTCATAACTTTTGACTGGGTGAATCGATTTTGATGATTCTTTTTTTATAGTCTAGTTCTGATAATGGTATCCATGAAAAAACCGTATAAGTCTTAAATTTGCATTAAGTACGTGCGCGACAAATAGATGAATAACTCGAAAACTCAATATCACGCCAACCGATTTCGATGATTATTGTTTTTAGTGTATATTAATTTGTTTTGGAATATCTTTTTTTTCTTAATCCGGTCCACTGCTCTCGGTCTTCTTTTATTAAGAAAAAAATGAAGTAATTGGATTTTGTTTCCATCCGATTGATTATAATCAAAGAGTTTACTTTCAATAAAATATGTAAACATAGGCGGGATGTAAAAATAAAAGAAATGTACACAACACACATTACTGTTTATTGTGTTTACGTTTTAAACAAACAATGTCACACAATTGCGGACCGAGGAATGCAAATGTTGATAAAAGTATGATAATGACTCATTATAATATTTTTCAACGGAGATTGTAATCGTGAACAAGAAAAAAAAAACAAAATGTGTGCAATTCACACGTGTAAGAAGTGAAACCTTCCAAAATTAAAATACAATTATCCTAAACGTCTTAAGTATATGTAAAATTTGGTCATTAGTAAATAATTGTAAGGTAGCGCCCTCTGTGAAT